GTCACTGAGGGTGAGAGTCACTGAGGGTGAGAGTCACTGAGGGTGAGAGTCACTGAGGATGAGAGTCACTGAGGATGAGGATGAGGGTGAGGGAGCATGAGAGTGAGGAAGCGTGAGAGTCACTGAGGATGAGGGAGGGTGAGGGTGAGGGAGGGTGAGAGTCACTGAGGATGAGGGAAGGTGAGGGCAAGGTGCATCGGTGCAATAGAGGATAGAATACTGTGAGGATGAGGAGGATGAGGGATGAGGAGGATGAGGGATGAGGAATTGGGGCAGGGTGTGGGATGGATAAGGGTGTGGGATGGGGAAAGTGAGGGTTGCAGAGTGCGATGGTTGGGGAGGAGTGAAGGGGGAGAACAAGGGATGCGGAGGGCACAGAGCGAGGGATGGGGTGGGGTGAGGGATGGACAAGAGCGAGGGATAGGGAGGGGTGAGGGATTGGGAAAGATGAGGGATTGGGAGAGTGAGGGATTGAGGAGGGGTGTGTGTTGAACGAGGGTGAGTGTGAGGAAGCCCCCCAGTGTCCTCCTGGATGATGATAGAGTGAGTGAGTGAGAGTGAACCTGGGGTCCTGAGGACCCTTCCCTTTCAGCCTCCAAGCTGTGCTGATGTGGGCTGGGGTCTGGAGGCAGGGCAGACTATTCCCAATCCAGTAATGAATTTCTCTTTCTTTCAGTGTCTGTGCCAACAAGGGAACCTGTCAGTTTACCAGGTAAGACTAGGAGCAGGAGTGAGTCATATGGCACTTTGAGCCTGGTGTACCACTCAATACTTTCATGTTTGATCATCCAGCTCAGTCCCTGTTCCTGCTTTCTCCCCATCCTCTCTGATCCTTTACCCCTAAGAACTGTATCAAACTCTTTCTTGAAAATATTCATTGTTTTGACCTCAACCACTTTCTGTGACAGAGAATTCCACAGGCTCCCCACTCTCTGGGTGAAGATATTTCTCCTCATCTCAGTCCCAGATGGTCTACCCCAGATCCTTAGGCTGTAACCCCCGGATTTGTATAGACCTGTTAGCATTTCATAGGATTCAGTTCTCTGCCATTAAATCTTTGGTAATGGCCATGACCGATGTCAGGCTGACCGGTGTATAATATTCCACAGTCTAAAGAATCTTGGAAGGTGATTACCAGTGCATCCATTATTTCCAGAGGCACTTCCTTAAATACTGTGGAATGTAGATGAATGGGCCCTAGAGATTTATCTGCATTCAATCCCATCAATTTCCCCAACACCATTTCCTGACTAATACTGATTTTCTCCAGTTCCTCCCCCTCAACAAAACTTGCATTCCCAAACATTTCTGGTATGTTATTTGTGTCCTTCTTTGTCAATACAGAACAAAATTATGTATTTGTTTGAGAGATAGTAGGAACCGCAGATGCTGGAGAATCTGAGATAACAAGGTGTAGAGCTGGATGAACACAGCAGGCCAAGCAGCATCATAGGAGCAGGAAAGCTGACGTTTCAGGCCTAG